TTTTTTGTCCAATGTTATTTTACCTACCTAGTCTAAATCTCAAAGCTGCCAGTGGTCCACCATGAAAAGAAAGTGTGAGCATATCTGTCCCCTCTGGGCCTCCATCCAAGCCAGTCGCCCATTGCAGTCCTGCCAGGCCTCCCGAACAGCGCAGGTGCTGAGCTAGTCTTAACGTGGGAGCTGAAGCTACCTCCTCTGATACGAGCGCCATATTTACAGGTGCCAAGCCCACATCAAAGCACATCAGCTCCTCCTGTCCTCCCCCTACCATGACGACAGCCCCAGCAGGGTGCCAGGCGAGGAGGGTGGCCGGCACGGGGCATGAGGCTAGGAAAGAGATCCCGCGTCGTTGGTCGCACAGGACTAAGGAGGAGTCACTTAAGCCAAGAAGCAGAGTGGTCTCAGAGGGGTGACGCGAGCAGGAGACTGGGTGAGATGACAGCGGGATTCGGGTGACTGAAAGGCGGTGCAGGCGTCCTCGTGCACATTCATACACACAGGTATCAGCCCAGGACTCCTCTCTGAATCCCTGAGGCCCTGCAGGTAACTCCACTGTTAGGACCTGGTAGGGCTGGAGCAGGCTGAAGCGGCAGTCCAGAGGGTTGCCTTCAGTGTGGACTGAGCTTAGGACCTGAAGGAGAAAAAAGTTAGAGAGGACAAGGGAACAGCTTCAGAAATAATGGCATGAAGAGAAATTTCGAAGTTGAAGAAAAATGATCTTGTAATCTTGTTTTGCACGGCTATATCCTGGCATGTAATGTTTCCACAGGAAATGGAAGCATGTGTGAAGGTACGCCTGTCTACAGACATCCCCGGTGGAGGCTTCACAGTTTGGTCTGGCAAATTCCTTTCTGAGATGCAATCCATATATGAAAATTAAGTACACATATTCACAGAGGATGATTTGTAATAATAATTTGCTTGACCCAAGATGCCTCATTTGCTGTTCAAACTTTTTGTTTACAAGAGGCAGCCAATCAGAAGACAACTGGATTTAAATCGGCACGTTTCAGACCAGACATGAACTGTAGGGGGCCACCAAGGCCCAGTGTGAGGAAAGGATTATTTTAAACAGTGATTCAAGCACAGCTACTGTAATAAAGAGCAAGAAGAGCAATGTGGAGTTTGAAATCAACATAGTCCTCCTTCCTGATACAGGCATGCCAGCATGCTGAAACAAGATTTGAAGGATGATGTCTTCTCTCAGTGTCGAGGAACAAAAACATTACTGTAAACTTTAGGGGAAGAGGATGGAAAAAATACTTCCTCATGTCTCTGCATCTACTGTAGATCAAGTGTATTAAAAAAAAAAAAACGTTTTTATTAGTCTGTATTCATCATCAAAGACCTTGTAATTTCTGTTGCTGTTTTAACATGCTCTTCAACTTGAAACCTGTTTTGTGCTGCAACTGTTAGAATAAAACGGCAGAGACAAAGACACGTGAGAGAAAGACAGAAATGAGTCATGCCGTGGCAGCAGCCCCAAACCCCCTGGAGATGGAAGAAATGGAGCCTTCCATATTGCTCATAAACACCCAGCTGTCAATCAAGACAGCTAATGATAAGAGCTCTATTTTAACTCAAGGTCAACAACATCTTCTCCCTAAGCATGCCATGGCTTGGCACATAATGATAAACAACCTCCTCTGTTTACCTGTGTGAGGAGCCAAGAGCTCAGCAATAGACATGGCAAATGACAAGAAAAGGAACCCTTTTCACTGGATACATGAAGAAATCTTGAATTTTTTTGACCAGTGGTCAAATGCAAAATGTAGATTATTTCTGCCTGGCCTACAACCAGTTTGCGTGGGTACAATGGTCCTGCTATGCAAACAAGCACTGACATTGAGGGAGACAGGCCGTGTCACGGGTGGTAGTGTCGATAAACACCCACAAGAAACCTGGAACAGTACGTGGATGACAGGAGAACACAGGCTGTACTAAACATCAGTCCAACAGTTACACAGTCACTAAAAGAGCTTTTTAGGAAGGATTTCACCTTACCAAAGCCTCTATCAGAGCCCTGCATTGACCGTGGCAGCTTTGGCTAAATGAGCCCATTTCTTTTCGCCATGTAGACAGAAAGAAGGATCGGCTGCCTGCCTGCCTGCCTGCCTTCCTTTCCTTTTGCAAAGCTGCTCGGCCCAGTTTTTTGGCAGGCATTGCCAAAAAGGGACTTAGAGGGAGGAAGGCAGGTTTTTTTTGCCTGCCCATGGTCTACAGCAGGAGAGAAGCAGATGACTGTCCTCCTGAAAGCTTTTTTTCCTCCCTATAATCCCCCAGAGCTAGCTCCTGCTGCACCCCAGGGGGTGGGTGCTGCGTGTGAATGTGTGTGTTTATTTGAAGCAGCAGGGTAGAGGGGCTCAATTCATGTAAAAGGTGGTGTATCCTGGGGCTGGTGCAGTTCTCTGGATAGCTTAATTTCTGCAAAGTGACACATGCGTGAAAATAAACTAGCACACAAATGCATAGCAGGTGAGGGTCCATCGTATTCACCCTACAGAACGCTGGACTCACAAGACCTACCTCAGTGCCACAAACCGTGACACCCCCCACCCTTCAACTACATCTCATCCTTTCAGCTTTTCATCGCATGCCCGGCTTGCTAGTGCCCGCTGCCTGCTGTGAGCCTGCATGCCACCATCGGGGGCTGAGGTGCAGCTGACTCAGCTCCGTTTCACCTGACAGATGACCCTCCAAGAACAGGGATCAGAGGGCAGAGGCAGCTAAAGTTCTGAGCCAACAAATAAATACTACATGGGCGGATTCAACCTGCAGCAGCCAATATTTACATTTTTAAAAATGTACAATGTGCACAAAAAACATGTATGACGTGAGAAAATAACAGCATGTTCAACCCAAGTTGGGATATTCATAACACAGCTGATGATAATTGCTTTATTACACTCTCAGCCCCTCTATAAATATTTCTGACCAACATTATTCACAGTTTAAATATTAAACCAGCTTTAGCACCATTGCACATAATATTCATCATCTAATCCTGCTCTGTGGCACATTTAATTCAGAATTGGTATCAAGAAAGTAAAAGAAAAAGATTAAAGTCACTAGAAAAGTGGATTATGGAAGTCAGAATCCAGGCTACTGAACTGACTAGTGCTTCAATAGAGACAGTGGCTGTGAAAAGTCCCTGAGTCTATCAATCCATGAGTGGCTGCAGGTCTTAATCCCATAACCCCCCCTCACCAATAAAAATATTTAAGTTATTTAAGACAGCAGTCCCCAACCTTTTTTGCGCCATGGACCAGTTTATGTCCAACAATATTTTCCATGCACTGCCCTTTAAGGTGTTGCGGATAAATACAACAAAATAAAACCAGTAATTGTACCAAAAAAGAAGAAGATTTATTTATAACACACGGGAAAAGACCCAGGGAAACCGAGTTAGAGATTAAAACGATAAAAAAAATAACACTAAAAACCGTTAGAAACCCTGAAAACCATGAATTTCACTCCCGAGTCTCAACTCTCGTGGCCCAGTACCAAACGACTCACGGACTGGTACCAGTCCGTGGCCCAGGGGTTGGGGACTTCTGTTTTAAGAAGTTCAAAAAACACAAAGATCGAGAAGAAGTGGCAATCCTGAACAGTTGACTGCTGAAGTGAGCAGATGATGGCTCCGTTAAACTGTAGGAGGTGATTAGCTGCCACAGTGTGAGCCCACTATTCCCCTAGTGGGCTCAGAAAGATGCTCTGACTTTAGGTTTATCACACAATCACGCTCTCTCTATTTGAGTGGTCTCATCCATTTTCCCAATCTTAATGTGATGCATATACTACGACCTCAAACCAGTTGGACACCTCAAGGAGATTTTTGGCTGATTTGTTGAGAGTGCATTATTGGTACATTCATCAAAACATTAAGGGGGTAGCATCTCTTGGAAGAGTGGTCTTCCATCCCTCCAGTACTGTGTTTGGTTATATATCTGTCACTCGTTTGTATTTCATATAGTTACAATGAATATTCTCACAGAGTGCCGTCATTTCAACATTTCACTTTTTTATGCATGAACCTTTGTATTTAACTATGTTGTATTTACTGGCCTTAAGTATAATAGTACAACATGCCTCCAATATTTTAGTGGATGCATTTGATAGTGCTAAAAGCGACATTCAGTGCCAGAAGCACCCACACTCCTACAGCCAGTGGAGTTGCATTGTAACTCCAGGTAATCTTTAAGTCGAAGGTACGCCTCATATTCCATCATCTGGACTGAGCAAAGTCAAGCAAAATGTCCCTGAAGGCAACACAACTGATTAGGAGATTTAAGAAAATTCAAGACTTGCAGGGTTATGGAGGTTTCTGCCTTTCAGGGCCAAAATATAATCTTGAAATGCTAACATTACTCTAAAGACCAGAAAGGAAGAAAGACAAACGATAAAACTGTTTACCTGCAGTTGGCTGTGTGATCTCTACAATAAGATGTAGGTGATGTGTTACTCTTTAGATTTTAGACAGACTTAGCATAGCACAGTAAATATTTACAAATCACTGGGACTTAATCATTTACAAAGCCAAATCTTTTTCACCTCTTTTAACAAGCTGCCCTTAAACAACAATCGACCTGTAAAAAAGGTGTAGAGATGTATCGTAATGTGTCCAGAAAAGCAAAGCTTTGTTTGCCTGTGAACTCTTCAGAGTATATTGTGGCATGTGAATGTACAGCATTCCCTGGTTCTGGGAGCATAAAATAAAAAATGATGAATCAGGTCAAGAATGAGAGTGAGCAAGGGAGTGAACAGATGTGCAAAAGAGAGACAGAGAAAAAGGGATGCAGACAGAAATATGTAGAAAAGATGATGAGAAAGAGTGGAAATGGAAAAGAATAAAGAGAGGAGAAAGATGCAAAGAGAGCAGAGACAGGGAGAGAGGGAGACAGACACAGAGAGAGAAAGAAAGACTTCTAGTAAGTAGCTTTCTCCTGGTTATTGGTTTCAGTGACTGGTCAAAACTATTCTTCTCCATTCTTCTCCTCTCTCTCTCTCACCGGCACCTTTTTTCCCCCTCCATGGCGTGAAAGATAAAGCGGACGGGCCCAACTGTGTGGCTGGCCCTTGTTCACAGCAGTGGCCTTTTGAAGCCAATTTTCCAGCTCACGGAGCAGAGAAAGACAGGGAGAGACGGATAGAGAGAGACGGAGGGACTTGGAGGAGAGTCGAGGGATGAGGGGTGTTTGGGGAGGCGGAGGGGGGAGAGCTGGGTGGGACTGGGGAAGTTTTAGGTATGTGATTTGGGGTTAGAGTTGAAGTACTGATGTGAGAAAATGCACAGGCACAGCGGGATTACGAACCAAAATATTCCTCATACCTTCCCCGGCTGAAAATAACGGAGGGAATATCATTCACTGGACGCAAAACTGTACCAGCAGTGCTCCCAGTGTGATGTTTAAAAAGCAGCGGAGCTTGGGGGTAAATCGACACTTTGGATTCAGCACCAGACCCTTTCATGGTACAAATTATTTTGCAGTGCATTTCGGAAACGTGCTTTAATTCTTCATATTAAGACTGCAGCTTTAAATTTTTAAGGAGCAAGTCTTGCCAGCAATCTTGCTTCAAAAGCACCCTTACTCTTCATCACAGTGTTCTTGAAGTGAAGAATAAATAAAATATAGATTAGAAATTATTTAATTTCTATGAAATTTTTTTTTTTTGCTCTACTCTTAAGTCAAAAAATAATTAAAAGACAGCACAAATCAACAAACAAATGCAGATCAAACAACTACAGACTGTTTGGTGACAGATAACAGGATAGACATACAGTTAAAAAAAAGTGTTTGGAAATAATCGGGGGGAAAAAAGCAAAAGCAAACAAAACATTCATCTCACTTCATTTAAGATTATTAAATTCCAGGAAATGGCTGATTTATGTGTTTGTTTGGGGGGGGGAGGGTGTATAAAGTATGAAGGAAGGATCATTAAAAATGTTAACTGGCTCCTGCATAAAAACCAACTGTGTATGTTTTCCTCTCTTTACCCCCCCACGTTCTGTGGCTCCACTTATCAGCATGAGGAGGGAGGAGGTGGCGAGGGGGGTATACGAATTAAGACCACATAGGGAAAGAAATCAGACTTTTTTAAATGCCGAGACTGGCTAGAAAATTGGCTTAGTGCGGCAGATAGCGAACTGAACAAAAGGAACATATATATGAGCTTGAAGTGATTGAAGTAGCTGGCGTCGCCCGATGTGTGCCCAGCATTTGATTCCCGCTACGGCTCTTACATAAACTGCTCGCTTAATTTCACACCGCGCATCTGAAAAATGACAACAAACGCTTTCATTAGAGAGCGATGGCGCAGCCCCATGAAGAGACTTTAATGTTCTTGAAGCGAGGAGGAAGGAAGGAGGAGAAGGATGAGAGGAGGGGGGTGTTGAAGGAGACACAGAGACTAAACTAGGTGAAGGAGTGTGATAAATGTGGCGAGCGTTCCAAAAACAAGAAGAAAAACCAGCAAACAGCATCTGCTTTGATTATTTCAATATTCATGTACACCCCCCCTCACACACACTCACACACACACCTCCAATTCCTCCCTCTTTCTCTGCTGCGTGAATTTGTTTTCCTAGCGTGCGATTGGTAACGCTCATTTTTCCTCCTTCTCCCTTCTCTCTTCGGTGTGGCGAATATTTTGCATATGCTTACTGAGGTACACGTACCGGGGTTAGAGTTAAGCCCGGTTTGGTAATTTGGGATCTTTCATCTGCTCTCGGCACGAGGCCAATCCTACACTGACACAGAATCGGGTCATGGGTAGGGTTTTTGCCACAGGCCACGAGGATGTGCGTTTCAGCCTGTGCGTGAATGTGTGGGCGTTCTCCTTCACGCTGTACCACAGCTTAGCTCTCTTGCTTTTTTCATATGGTGATGCATGAAGGTGCAACACAGAGGTACCACCCTTGAGGTGACTAACGCACCATCCCCAATCCCATCCAGAATAACACAGGTCTCTCCTCAAATTCAGCAGCTTTGTCGCCCCTTTTTCCCTCACTGGTGTCTGGTGAGTGTGTCTGCAAGCCTCCCTGTGTGTGAAACTACAAAAATATATGGGAGGACTTTGTGTTACTGATACTGAGAGCTTCAAATAAAGACTGAAAAGTATTTACTATATTTCATTATGTGTTCATGTTACTAAAATTCAACTTAGCTTGTCCTCTAAAAATTCCTAGTTCAGAGCATCCATCCTTGCCAAATCATCAGCTACCATCATACAAAATCTATTGTGAACACTTAGGAAGTATGAGGATTTCTGCACTGATTAATCAATCTTCATCTAAGTCATGAACAGATGGACTTAATAATCAATCACACTTTAAGAAAACATGAATGTCTTTGCAACTTATTTCAAAGCTACTTGTAGTCAGGTAATTTAACTAAGAAGTTAAAGTAAAACACATATGTGGTTAGTAGAGGTGAACAGATTCTTTTATAGAGAGATTCTAGGTGCAGCTAATCGGTGGCACGGTGGGGGTCTCAGGATCACATCTCCGATTTGGTTCTGTTGGCTATGTCGACTGATGACTTCCAGCTTAAACCCGATCGGTTTGCTGGTGGTGAAGTGGCGGGGATGACAATGAGCACCTCAAGTCTGAAGCAAGGGAAGGCTGTAGGTGCTCACTGCAGTTTGGGAGCAGTTGTTGCTTCAAGTGGAGGACGTTAAGCATCTATTCCTAAGAGGGGGAAGAGTATTGAGGTTTTGCAGACACATGACCACTAACCATGTGATCTTAATTTGTCCACCATTTTGGGCATGTGACAATCATGGTAGGGTCAAATGACTAAGCTCCTAATCACACAGGCCTAGAAACTGGTCAGTGACCCTCTGGCAACCACTGATGATTAGGGAAAAATGTGTACTCCTCAGCCAGCCAAGAAAAATCTCCTTGCAATTTCTTTGGTTGCTATTGCTGCATTTGCCTGTGGTTTGCATGGAAGACTCTGCTTTGTCTACAACCACTCGTTTACTCTCTGACAAGCAGTGAAACTGAAGGCCGATGGTTTGTGTGACAAAGTAAAAGTATTGTCTTGGCATTGCAAACATTTTTTGGTTTGCATCGCCCTTTCCAAGAAGTCAGCAAATGTTTGCACATATGTCGCTATCCTGCGTGCAAAGCACAGGAAGCCGCTGCAATCTGTTAGCAACCAAAGCAATAAAAACAATGTTTTTCTCAGCACCGTTTGCAACAGCCAGCAACCTCCAGGAAGCACTCGCCAACCAGTTGTGCGATATACATGTCACGCTCATGACCAGTGATTGTATCAGACCCAATATGTTGGACAACTATAGCAAGACTCTATAGCAGGAGACTGAAATATGGATCGTCTGCAGCAGTGTGGCTGCTGCACCAATCTGTTGCAGTGAAGAGAGCTGAGAGAGAAGGTGAAAGTGTAGATTTTCTGGTTGTTCCCACCCTTACATAGGGTCATGTGCTGTGGGCAGTGACTGAAAGATGAGACGGCATATAAAAGCACACACAGCTTTAGATATAGCATCAGGAGCTTGTTCTGTCAGGAGGAACTCAGAATAAAACTGTGACTCCAGGTCAGAAGAAACCAGCTAAATGCCCCGTAGGTGAGGTGGATTGTGAGTGATGTCACTGCTCAAATCCACCAGCCATGTCAACCTCAGTCATCACTTAAGATGCTTGAATTGCTCCACAGGGAGTAGGAGCTTTCTTCCCAAGAAAACGATGGGAGTAATCATTTTCTGCAAATGTATTCACACACAAGTCTGATATACCCACAGTAACCCCAAAAGCATCCAAGACCAATTCATTAACCTTCTCCAAACCAGTAAAACGTTGGAATGAGCAAAGACCATTACCGCTCTGGTTTCCCTGTAGGTAATTGTCGTTCATAGTTTTCATTCCACAACCTTTTCCTCTGTTTTAATGAATACAGGGTTTGTTCGACTGCTTACATGTGGTGTTCATTGGAACCTTTATTAAGGTCTTAAAATCCAAACAAGAGGTTTAACGTTTTGAGCGGTTTGACTAAAGCTTTATCATAGAACTTTGACAAGTTGTACTAGGAAATGCACAGTTGGAAATTACTCATTTCCCCTGTGTTTAATGTAGCCATCATAAGTATACCTGTGCTATGCTCTGTGTGTGTGTGCGTGTGTACCTTCAGGCCTTCAGCAGGTGAGCAGCTGATTAGGACAAGGTTATTCCTGTGTGTATCTGTGGGAGTCCAGGGCCATAGCTCCTCACTGGACTCATCCTGGTTCCACCAGCAGAGCGCCACATCCTGGACACTGTTGAGACCTACACGTCTGTGGAGCCTACGACCACACCCGCCCAACTCCACACATACCACCTGGACACAAAAATACAAAACAGTGAAAATGGGCAATTAAAATAGTAGGAAGACAGAGATTCTTGGAGTTAGAACATATTTTATGAAGAATGGGAAAGATATGCGAGTATCTCAGTGTTTCGCTCATTTGGATTCACCTTCCTGGCCTGTTTTAAAACCCGAGGGCTCTGACACTTTCACGGCTGGAGCCCCTGGTGCCTCTGCTGTCCTTCCCCCATCCTGTTTTTGTTGATGTCTAAGGTTGTTTTTTCATCTTCCATTATTAATGTCTGTGTGCGTTTTGTTCTGTCGGGCTTGTTGTTTTAGTGATGTGCATATTTTTTGGGAAGGTCCGCCACGCTCTACGGGCCACAACAAAGAGACGCACAGTAATGAGCTCTCGTGGCGCTTGGGGGGTGGGCGGGTTACACACATTCACACAGACACACAAATAGACACACATACATAAATATGTGCATGTATGTATACAATCATTGATTTATAAAGTAAACAAACACTCTTGGATAGACGCACAAAGTGCAGGTACACACACACA